CAAACCATTGTGTTTGTAGATGTCCTGGGACTAAAATGTTCTTCATCCAAATGTCTGAGCTGGTTTCTGTTGCTAGGGGTAGTTAATTTTTTAAACAGAAACAGAGGCATCCTTGCTCTGGTTCCCAGGCTTCTTTCTTTGGCATCACAGATGACTTTGCATAAGGGCAGCATTCAACTTTTGAATGGTTTCTGTGCCTTGCTTGGCACGTACTCATGCTGCTGAAAATTGGGTTTTGGAAGTACTTTTTTTCCCCCAAACATGGATGCTCTCCTGGAGAAGGATGGGAGCAGATGTGTTTCTATTCAAGGAGTAACTAGCTTCTGATATGAATGCAAACCCCCAGGAAGGCTGGGAGAGAGCAGGGACCAAATGTCATCATCCAGACTACCCAGATAGAACATTTGGCAGGGAAATAGACTGAATCATTGTGGGAAAGAAAGTTCCAGTAAACACAACCCTGCAGTGCCATGGAGCATCAGGATTCTGGTGTTGGAAAGTGCTGAACAGCCTGCTGCTTATCCCTAGGCCAAGATCTGCTGCCTGCTCTTTGCAGAAAATAAATCTTCTTGTTTTTAATGTGTATTAACACATCATTTAGAGGGCTGTATAGAGGGGAAGTTGAACATGACGAAGTAAGAGCAGCTTTATAAGCAGAGAAAGAAAGGGCACACACACCAAGGAACCAGGGAGCAGCTTCGTGCAGAGGTGGGGAAAAGCAAATGTCTTGCCCTGCCTGTCTCCCTGTGTCTATTTAGTGCTTTATTCACTGTAAATATAAGTTGAGGACACAAGGGAAGTGGCCTCAGCTAAGAAGAATCAGGCTATAATTTCCACATTTCCTTTCAAATAGAACAACCCTGAGAAGCTAGTACTATTCTAAGTGTTGTGTTAGAGCAGCATTCCTTTGTCTCCTCAACACAGACACTCTGAACAGCAGCCATGATAATTTCCAGCATTATTACCTACTATTATTTAAGTAGTTAAAGCTGTGGTCAGATGGTGGGGAAAAGTAAGATGTACAGCACATTTGGGTTTAGTGTTTTTACACTAGGGAAGGCCAGAAGTGTTCAGCCATGTCCAGGTAGCAGTGAATGAATGGCTGTTTAAAAAATAAAAATAAAAAAAATCCTAGGAATATAAGCAGATTTTCCAAAGCACGTGGGGTCATGTTTTCCCACATAAAGACCAGCAACAGTGGCTTTTCTGTAGACTAGCAATGGATTTTTTCAGCTGTCAGTGACCTTGAGAAGAGGATAGAAGGTGTGCTCTTTATAGAGTCATTTAGGTTGGACAAGACCCTTAAGTTGATCAAGTTAGGTTGATGACATCAACCTAACACTGCCACTACTAAACCATGTCCCCAAGTGCCTTGTGCTCATATCTCTTAAACATCTCCAGGGATGGTGACTCCACCACTTCACTGGGCACCCTTTTCCAATGCTTCAACACCCCTTCATGAAGAAATTCTTCCAGACATCCAAACTAAACCTCCCCTGGCACAACTCGATGCTGTTTCTTTGAGTCCTACCACTTGTCACCTGAGAAAGGAGACCAACACCCACCTCGCTACAACCTCCTTTTGGGTAGTTGTAGGGACTTATGAGGTCTCCCAGACTGGGGAGACGAGTGAATACCTATAGGCTGAACTATTTGGAGGAAGGGCTGACTGAGCCAGCAGGCAATTCAGGCCAGAGATATTGGCAGCCCTGGCCCTAGGCACACAGAGCCCATCAGGGGTCCAGAGGGCAGCTCTGGGAGATGGCACAGGCTGCATGGGGCTGCACAGGGGCCAGCCATGTGCTGGGGCAGAGTGTGCATGGGGTGAGGATCCAGGAGGCCTGGGGAGATCCCTCCCTTCAGCAGCAGCCAGTCGTCATCTCGGTGCTCCTTTCTGGGGCCCTGGGCAGGGCGGATGATGGCAGACTTTCAGACAATGATGCCTGAGTGGACCCCACCATGTGGAGGGTTGGTTTGCTTTTAGGCTGTTACAGGGGAGCATCAGATGAGAGTAGCATTGGAATTGTTTTAGGCACCCCTCATCTGGATACCCAAAGTCAGTCTCCAGCACCTTACAAAGTATTTGTTTGCTAGCATAATTATATTATAATGTTTCACAATGCAACATTTGTCTAATGAACAGATGAAAGAAACAGACTGCATTTGACCTACATGACAACTTTGAGATTCCAATATATTTAATATGCTCTAATTATTTAGGCATTAGGAAAAACTTGTAACAATATGTGCAGCCAATGAGGCAAATTTAGTATACTAGTTGTGAGAAGAGACCTCTTCATCACCTCCCTGTCTTTGTGATCTAAAAAGGATGAAAAGGTGTGGGAGGTCCTAATATAACTGAGACAACATTTACCTGCAGAAACAGACTGTTGCATAGTCACCCTCCTTCTCCACAGGTAGATCTGATTTTTTTCTCCTTGAAGTTAAATAATGTCTGAGTAAATGTTATTTTGGTATTTTTATGATACAATTCATACTAGGCTTTAATTTTACAATGATGAAGTGCACCTTCTGTCAGCACTTAGACATATAGCTGAATGTTTTGTTTATTTCAACTGCCTGGAATGTGTACCTTAGTCATGATTTATATGCAAATATTGACCTTAGCTCACAGAAGAGGATAATTTAACAATTTCTGAGTTTTTCTGACGTGTTCATACTTCTTTCTTTTGCAAACCAGAACAGTTTTATTTTTCCTACCCTGCTATGAGGTCAGGAAGCTATGCTTTACCCAGTTTATCGGAGAGAAATTGAGTCCTCATGAGATCAAGATAGAGTGATGATCCTAGGAAAATAAAAGTAATAATACCTGTCTGGATCACTCAAATCAACTTCAGGATGGAAATGACTCAAATAGCCATACAGCAGGTGTTGTTAGCTGGGTCCTGCAGAACAGCAGAGTTCCAGCCTCATTTTCTCCTTTTTAAAGCCAGCTCCAAATTAAGCAAAAGGAGGACAAAGAGATAAAGAACTTCACTGCACTCTTAATCCCAGTGAAAAGGCAACTACCGGCTGCTTTGCCTGTGCCCACAGGATGACTGTCATCAGCTTCTCCTTCAGCAGGTGTTGGTAGTAACTCAGGCTCTGCACCCAGATACATGTGCATCCAACAGAAAGACAACATAAAAACCTGTGCCTTCACTGATCACTACTTGCCACCCAGCCTTCTACCTCTGCCATCCAATTTAACCATCACAGCTCTGCTGGGTTTCTTCCTCCTCAGCCCAAGAAAGGCGAAGAGGCACCTGAATCTGCTGGCTGTCTGACCAGCCTCAAGGCAGTCCCTTCTGCCTCTGCTTGTCTGAAGGCAGAAGGGAGCTTCTTGCTGCATCTCCCTCTCGTGCTGCTGCCAGTGACAATGCAGCTGGCTGAGGAATGTGCAGCACACAGAGGTGATTTTCCCTTCCTGCAGTTTATGTCACGTGCAGCCTCAGGAACAAGATGCCATCAAGTCCATCTTTCTCACTTTTTCTGTTGAGGTTCATAATATCCAGTCATTGTCTTTGTGTGCTAGTACCTTGATATGACAGCCCTGTAACAAAAAAACCATCTCTCCTCTCACATCAATTTACCTTGGAGAACAAAAGTGAATCACTCACCTGACTTGTTATTTGACACTCCAGAAATAAAAATAAATAGATAAATAAAAATAATTACAACCCTCTGTCTTTCTTGTATGACTTTGGGCAAATCATTTAGTCCTTCATAGTATCTTCACTCCTTGTCTGAAAAAATGGGAAAATGTCATTCCTTCCAGCTGTTTCTTTTTAATTCCCATCCATTGTGTGCTCTGTGTGCTCAACCTACTGATATGGAGCCTTCTGATACCACTACAGTGACAATGTGAGTAAAAATTTATGCTAAATCCACATACGATTTTTTTAGAGGTTTCCATAGATATTTTCTAGCTCATAATAAGAATATATATATATTCTTGTATTGTCTTCAGAGATATTTGACATTGGTCAATGCCAGAAAGAGAATTGACTAGAAGGTTCCTGGTTGGGATTTTACAGGGCTATATCTAGCCTTAGAGATTTTAAGCCAGTTATGATTGTGGGTTTTTTGCTCTCAGTGTAGGCTGTGCAGTCCTACAAGCATTTTCCCCAGAGGGTGATCTCTTATCCATTTTGTGTCTGTGTTAACTTCTCTATCTGTAGGTTGAGTCTTGCTCTTCGGATGGTGGTGGGAATTTCTTGAGTCATTTGTGCAAGCCTCACCACTCTGTTCTTACCTTAATTCCTTGGTAAGGACAAGCTCCCCTGCAACAGCATAGCAATTTAACCCACACTGGTTATTTCAAAAGAGCATCTCATGGTACACATTTGGGGAGTTCTTTGTCTAGCCTGGGGGGATGACCACAAAGAGAAACTGAGACTTCAGTGAGGTTTAAAGGCTCATGACACACCTTTGCAGACTCCCTGTAGATCTGCATATGGTGGCAGGACTTTTTTTATATTTAAGCAAAAAGATGAGTTTAATTTTCATCAGGTAGTTCCCAACAGTGCATAACAGGATGGATTGCAGGTGATGTGGAAGAGGAAAGAATTTTCTTCAGCCAGCAGCACTGCCATCTTCAAATGGGCCCAGCTTCATCCAGAGAGCTGTCAGAGTAACTGTACCAGCAGACCCAATGATCCCAGCACCAGGGACGAGCAATATTCCTGTATCCCACACACACTCATGTACTGGTGGTGCTGTCCATTGTACTTTGCCTACCCAAACCTCCACATTGTGCACTGAGTCTTTGTCCCATGAATCACTCCAATTACCAGCTTACATGATACTTTCAGAGCCCTCTGTCCCTCATACAGGCTCTCTCTGCATCTACTCAAACAGTTAAACCCAGACAGAGATTTACTCCTGGTGTCGCTGAAATGTGAAACTGTGGTAAGACAAAGAGTCAAACCTCCAACGGGCATTGAAGAACTCTTGGAAAGCATTGTGTTTTACGCACAGAGCAGAGAAAATCAACCTACCTATTAGTGGGACTGAGTCAGAAGTTGCAGGCATGATCTCAGCCACAAGCAGCATGAACACAGTCAGGGAAAGCAGAACAGTGATACCTGCAGGGAGTGAACATGTAGGGGAAAGATGAGGAACATGATCGATGCAGCTCCTCCTCTGATGTCTTTGCTGTTAAATACAACTTTGTCACCATGACTTAGTGCTTCTTAGGGCAGGTGAGAGCTTCTACCAAGTGAGAACATCTTTCGATATACATTTATCTGCTCCCTTTCCACTTCTCAATTGCACCCAAACCTTTGCTGCTCTCAAAATAATAGATAAATCTTTTCAGGTCACTAAAATGGAGCTTGCAGAGCTCATGAAATACACCGTTCTTGCAAAACAGAGCTCATAAAAAACCCAGACACTTATTAAGGGCTAGAAGACACTTAAAGAGTTTTGGCTATTGCGCGTTATATAACACCCTCCACAGAGATGCATGCCTGTTTCAAAAGGAGCTCATTGTCATCTTGTTCTCTCTGGAAAGGCTGTTTGCAAATCCTAACTGCCCTAAGCTGAGAAATTGCTTTTTATTTCGCATGTTTAATGTATGAACATTATATCCCATTTTTATGACAATATTGTACTTTAGCTCAGATAGTCCTTTTCCCTGCCTGAACACCGTTTTTCATAGGCAGCAGTCTTATCCCTCACAGCCCGTGTTTTGCTTCTTGTAAGACCGGCTGCTCAGTAGATCCCCGATGGTTTTAACAACCAAGTGCATTTGTATGATTTAAAGGTCTCTATTCTGATTGTATTTGTGCACAATTGACTCTGAAGGTCTCAGCTGGGTCACTCTTACATATTTACAGCTTCCCCTGTTTTTTCTTAGAAACACCACCCTGTCTGTATTGGTATACATGACAGTAAAGCTTGTTTAGCTATTCCTTTGCTGTTGCTACTTTGCATTCCTTGGGAACTCATGGTTTGGAGGTTTGGGAGCTGTACTTGGAAGGCAAAAATAAAGTACCCAGCTGCTGCTGCTCATGACCCTTCACTCTCTATATCTCAGCATGTCCTATCTGAAAGAGAGTTAATCAGCTGTGAAATCCAGTGAGACATGCTAAGGAACAGGACGACAGGGAAGACAGAGTGCTATCACTGCTGCCTCTGCCAGAGATGAGTTCTGCATCATCCCAGCGTAAAATCCCAAGGATGATGTAAGTAGAAGTACTTAGTACAGCATGTGTGAATGCTGTACAGAAAGCTGTTACCCCAGTTTCTGCAACCAAACAAGTGCTTCTGTTGTTCCTCCAGGGAAATCTTTATTCATCAAGCACCATGAGGCATTATTTGCCATTTTATGGGAATCCCTAATGAAATAAATGAATTCTTGACCACTTACCTAAAGAAATCTTCTCTCCTGAATCAGCTGGCAGAAGGAAAACAAGCAGAGCCAAGCCAGATATGAGGACACAGGGAATCAGTAGGTTCAAGCCATAGTAGAGGGTGCGTCGGCGCATGGTGATGGTGTACGTCACATCTGGGTAGGGTTCTTTACAGCACTCGTAGTACATCTCATTCCTCTTTCCTGGGACACCTACAGAAAGGGAGGTCAGAGCAGTGGGGAGAGGTGCAGGACTGCCCAGCATCCATCCCCTTGGAAGGAGCCAAGCACCAATGGCTTATGATCCAATGTCTGGCTCGTAAGGGCCTCTCACTGTCACCAAAAGGATCTCCAGAGACCCTCTAGTCTGTCCAACAGCCACAAGCAGATCCAGCTTTCTGTGCAGAAAAACATTTCTTATTTCATGTTCTTATGAACGAAATGTTTCTTATTTCATGTTTCTTATTTTATTGTTTCTCAGATGCCCTGGCTGGTAGAAATACTGTAACCAGTTGTTCTGGGTCAGTTTTTCCTTGGCTACATATCTGGATTAGAAGATGAAACGTCCTTGTTGCAAGTTCTCATTAAAGTGGTCTAAAACCTGTCCATTTCTACAGCATTATTTCTGATTTACAACTTTTTTAATGAGTTCAGAATATCTCATTGAGATCAAGCTATGAATAACCAATTCTGGACATGGATTCGTCTTTTTAAAATGCAGGTCTCTTCTGAAGCACAGAAGAGAAGAGAGACATAGTGAGGTGCAGTTATTGGCAGATTTTACAGACTGGAGGACACTTTGATGGTTTTCTGGCTGAGAGGGATTCTTTGCAAAAGCTCATTCCAGTTTTGCTGAAATAGTGGTTTTTGCACCAATCATTTTTTGGCTGATGTGTTAGAGTAGATGTGACAGTAGTGTTCAGTGTGTCTACATGAGGCACATCTAAGTATAGTACTGGCACACTGCTCAGATGCATCAGCACCAGTAGATTTCATCTATGCACTTAGTTTTAGGCAATTGCTTCAGAACACAGTGTTTTCAGACACATTTCAAAGAATGCATTTGAAAAGTTGTTTCTGAATTTTTTTTTTTCATGCTGTGGTTTTCATGGAAAATCTTAGTATCTGTATTTCAAATGTCTCAATAAGATTGATCATTTCTATATATTTGGGTTTTGCCTTTGAAAATTAAACTACTGAAAAATAATTTAAGCCAGATAATTTACCCACTAAATCCCACTCTCCATTTGAGATGTAGTTGGAAATATCAGCATCAAGCATCTGCAGGTCAATCAGCCAGCCACTGTGAGTCCAGGAGCCAAACTTCAAATCACACTTCTGCACATCAAAGGGAAACCAGCGGACATCAATGTAGCAGGTGCTCTTCAAGATGCCTGTGGATAGACATAAACCAGAGTCAATAAGTGCAGGGAGCAGTTCACCTCCACCCTTATCTGTCCAGATGAGTGGGAGCAACTTTCTTCTGCAAAAGCCTGTGCAATGTAGTCGTGGGGTAATTAAGCAACTAGCACAGGTGGAAGATGTTGGCATGTGTGGAATATCATCCCTTCCTGGGCACCAAGGAAGAGCAGAGAAGATGACCTGTGCAGCCCGTGCCACCAGCAGCTGGTGGCAAAGCACAGATGCAATCCCTGCAAACCCTCACCCCTGCAGGCTTGTAGCTCTGCAGCCTTCACCTTATCTCCTCACCTCTCCTGGACCAGCAGCCATCTCAGAGGTGCTGTGCGATGGAGAAGCAGCTCCTGCTTCATTAGATAGTTATCTCCACTGCTGTGTCGAGGTGACCTGTTTGCAGTAGTTGTTTCTGTGTGCTCCCTAAAACACCAGCTAATATGAACCCTACCCCTGAGTCACCTAAACAGAGTCTGATGCTTTGCTGTAAGTACTCAGGCTGTGATTTTGAAGATAAAATCCCCAAAATAGAGCTACTGTGTTGCTGTTTGTGCCTGCTGCTGCAGAGGCTGAGGGCATTCTGGCATAACTGTATATTATGTGCAGGATTATTTATTTTCCTGCACAAACACTGATGTTCTTCAGAGGATAGATTCCCTCCTTTTGCTCCATCACCTTCTGGTAGGTCTGCCTCCCACTGCCACAGCCACTGTGGCGTTGGTTTCATGGGCGTTTTCTCCCAGCTTCTCCCAAATCTTGGCTCTGCTCCCTTCCTTCTCAACAGACAACTGTCTCCTGCTTGTCCTCTCTCTCCACTCCTCCACCAAGCCATATGTACCAGAGCTTGTTTCTTTAATGGAGAGCAGTGGTGAGTACAGTCTGCTCTCAGTCATGGGAAATAAAACTTTCATGAAGACTTGGAGACAACATCTTTTCCTCCTTTCCATGTTTTCCAGTCTCTTGATTAATCTAGCTGCTTCTGTGAGCACTTGCTGCATTAAGTAGGCTGATTATCAACATTTACCTTCTAAATTGGATTGGGCAAAGCAGTTTAGCAGCAGTTAAACTCATTTAAGAAATTATTTCCTGTGCTTTTCATGAGACATTTCTATTACTCCTTATTCTCTCTTTTTTATTTCCTTGCGGTCTTAAGTAACCAATTCTTCACCACAGTGTTTGTAGCTCACCATAGATGTACTCTGCTTGTGTGGTATGCCTTCTCCTCTGTTAGGTGAAAAGAGACTAGCAGAGCATCAGATCTGCCCACCCAGGCACCTTATCCATCACCTACTCATACAGACCCCAGGGGAATGAAGAAGGCTCTGCTCTGGTGCACCTTGATTTTATTCCTGTCGCCTGTTTCTCCCTGGAGAGCAACCATTCCCGTGGTCTGCCTCAGGAAAAACAAAACAAAACAAAAACTTTTTTTTTTTCCCTCCATTTGCTTGTTTGTTTTGTTTTGTATGTTTTTAAAGAAGTCTCAGAGGTGAGGATCTGTTGTGGACCAGCCACCAGGGAAGACCCATTTGTTTCCTTGTGTCCCTGTGGATGTCTTGGCATCAGTATGCCAGCAGATTTGGCACAAGGTTTGGACATTTCTTGCCCAAATGGAGGGGCTGTGGAGATAGCCCATGTGTTTTCTGGCAGGTGCTGGCTGCTGGGCCCTCTGGGCACTGAATCATGAATACAGACAGAAAGCAGGATGTGTTTTGGGTCTGGCTGGCCAGCACTGGATTCAGTTCATCTTTTCTCCTGGATCTGCAGGCTCAGCCTCACGAGGTGGACTTGGCTGCAGAGGGACTGCTGCTTGTGGGTGTCTCCTCTGGTACACAGCTCTTCTCACTCTCAGGAAAGAGCTAGCTGGTTTACATGAGAAGCTTCCCTCTGTGATAATGTGACCTGTGGTGCGTATCACCTTGCTTTGGGCAATACCTCAGCTGGGCCTCTGAATGATCAAACTGCTCAGAAGAGAGATTTACTGATTTATGAAGTGGAAATATGCTACTAATGATGGACCTAAATTACTTCAGTGGGTCTGTCTAATAATTAAATTACACAGATCGCAAAATTTCTGCAGACTGCTTCTAAACACTTTGAATTCATTTATGAAGGAAAACTGCTTGTAGTTATTCAAAGCTACACATTCACTTAAAACAAACAAACACACTGCATCCTACCTGGAGGAATATATTGGCAGGATCCAGAGTAATTCACCAGCACATTTGTGTGAAATGTTGCATCAAATCTTTCATCCGCACTATAACACGATACAAAGAAAACAAAAGAAAAGAAAGAAAATGTAGGCTGATTTTGAGTTAAGATGAAGCAACTTCCAAGAGAATAAACACAATCTTTTGTGAGAGTTTAATGCACAGAATCAAGGTCTGGCTTACACCTCGATGAAGAGCACACCCTTCGTTAGTATCTGGTCTTCTGACAGACACCATTGGCCTGCACCCAGACATGCTGGTGACTTTCTTAACTTCCTTGGAGAGTCCAGGAATCATATTATAGAATGACTTGAGTTGGAAGGGGCCTTAAAACCATCTAATTCCAACCCCCCTGCTATGGGCAGGGACACCTCCCACCAGCCCAGGCTGCCCAAAGCCCCATCCAGCCTGGCCTTGAACACCTTCAGGGATGGGACACCCACAGCTTCTCTGGGCAACCTGCGGCAGTGCCTCACCACCCTCCTAAAGAATTTCCTCCTAACATCAAATCCAGATCTCCCCTCTTTCAGTATAAAACCATCCCCCCTTGTCCTAGCATTATCTACCCAAGCAAAATTTGATTTCCATCTTTTTTAATAAACCTCCTTCAAGTATTGAAAAGCTGTAGTGAGGTCTCCCCAAAGCCTTCTCTTCTTCAGTCTCAACATCGGATGTCTCAGGGCAAAGGCAGAAGGGAAAGGAGCAGAAGTATCATAGTTTTTGAAGTTTCTGAGTGGTTTTCAAAGATTGGACTGCAGGCAGGAAGAGTTTTTTTCAGGGGCTGCTGTCAGAATCAGGCAGCTCACGGTGTAAATCAAGTTATTTTTTACCTATATATTTATTATGAGAGCAAAGGTTTCCTGAGGCTACAGTTCTGCAGTCTCTTAGGATACATGGGGGCCAAAGGTTTGCTTCAGACAATGCAAGACAACACTGGAGAGAGCCTGTTTCAGATCTGGGGTTCATAGGACAGTAGTGATTGAGACTGTAAGAGCAGAAACCACGCAAAAGGGATGAGGAAAAGGGAATTTATTTAAGAGCCCAGCAGTTCTGAGAAAGGGAAAGGAATAATGTGCCAAACAAGGGCAAACATTCTTCAAGGAAGCAGGCATGGGGACCTGCTCCAGGTTAAATACAGAAGGTTCCTCATGCTGGTGCTACAGACCCTTGCCTGTCATGGCTACGTGCAGGTCTTTGTTGCAGGACTACGCTATCTTACACACCCTGTCTTACAAGCAAACAAGTAAAATTCAGGTCCCCTGTTCGTCTTACGACCTGCTCTCTGTTCCTGTCTGAGGAGTCCTCAGGTGAGACATGCTGGAGAAGGAGACTCCATACAGGACACACAGACAGCCTACTCTGATGGGAAAAAGTAAATCACGGTGTCCACTGCTTCAGGATCCTCTGCATCAGGGCCTGGAAATCAAGGGCTGAGCATTGAAAACATGGGAGCAAGATCATATGCCTCAGGATAAGATTAATGAAACAGAACAAACTAGTGGGGATGAAATTGGAAAGACTAAGGTGCAGGACGAGTGATGACATAAAAGTCAGCAATAAAGGCTTTCATTAATAGAAGAAAACAAGGAAAAGTCAAACCGGACAAGTCAGACAGGATAGACCCACTGCTTGCTGTGGTACAGGGAGCTGCAGTATCCTGTACCCTCTGCACCTCACTCTTCACAAATTGTGGCTCACCCTAATTAATTCTCACACAGTGCCAGGAGCCCAGGGCAGGAGAGGGGAGGAATAGGTTAAAGAAGTGTAGATAAGAGACATTCCAGTTGGCAGCGCTGATGAAATTTACTCTCGAGTACTGAAGGGACTGGCCGAAATGCCCTCTGAAGCATTAACAATTATCTGTGAGAGCTCGGGGAGAACAGGGAAGGGCTCAGTGAATTAGAGAAGATCAAACAGAATTCTGACTTTTTTTTTTTTTAAAAAAAAAAAAAGGTGAAATTACAGACACATCAGTCTAACTTCAAAGATAATGAGGTGAAAACAGCTGGCACAGATTTGTCAAGGGCCAACTGGATCAAATCAATCTAATTTTCTTACTGACTTACTGAATAAGAGGAGGTAGAAGATATATCTGAACTTCAGAAAGCCTTTTCCATGCATGTTCTTATAAATAAACTAGAGTAATATGGACCATACTGTATTACTCATTTTTGGTGACAGAAAATGAGTAAAGAGACTGTAAAGTAGTAAAGCTAGAGTAAAGAATTATACTTTAAAAATTTCCAGGTCACTCCAAGCCTCCTTCAGATATTGCAGGGACTTGGAATGAAAAATGGATCTTGGCAGACAGTAGAAAACAGCAGAATGAAACTCATCCCAGATAATTAGAAAATATTATGCATAAAACTGATTAAAAAAAAAAAAAGGAAAAAAAAAAAAAGACAAATCAGTGAAAATCTAGCCCAACAGCAAGATCCAAGAACAAAATTAGTCCAAAAGTAAGAAGTTAGAGCAAAAATTAAATCCACCCCCCCTCCTGGAAAGAATTAAAGAGAAGTGTCTAGAGCACTTTCACTGCAACCAAAATGACAGAAGTACTGTCCAGAGTACTGGACTCTCATGGAAAAGAAAAAAATAATCTGGAGTGTTAAGAGGAGACAAGGAATGATGAAAAGAAATTTAGAAAATGTGGGTGATGGGTAATGTGCAAAGAAACAGATTGTTCAGTTCAGGCAGGAAAACTGTGGCAGCAGCAATTTTCTAGCACAGGTGTGGTAATTATAAGGAGAGTACAGATTGTTTGCTCTGCAAATTCATTAGGATAAGGGAAATAAGACACCTGCAAAACAATAGCAAGATTTAATATTTAAATATGTTAGCTGGTGCTTGTTTACTTTTTTTTTTTTTTTTTTTTTTTTTTTTAAGTGTAGGAGACAAAGTCCTGGATGGCAAAAGCCCTGGAATATAAATGCAGCAATGCTGTTTTCCAGCACCCAGTGCTCTCACTGGATATTGTGCACCTTGCTTACCTGTTATACAGAAGAATGTCTGGTACCCAAATCTGGTCAGCAGGAAATCGTAAGTTCTGCACTCCTGGGTATTCGTACTGATCCCAAGACAAGTAAATATCAACCCAGTACTGTTGGAAAATACATACATTACATTACACAAGCTGGCAAAAATACTTTAAGGTACCTGGAATATTTAGGGAACAGAATGGGTGTTGTCAATAGCAATAGCAGTAGTATGATAGTATGGCTAAAAGGGTGTTACGTGTGCGATAGCTGAAGACACCCTCCACAAAGGACAGGATACACGTAGGCTGTGCCCTGACAGTCCCGTAGTCCCATGAGTTGGTCTGTTTTAGTTTTTCCAATAGAGCTAAACCCATTCTTTCTGCAAACAGCAGCAGGTAGCTGCAGAAGAAGCAGCCTGTTCAGTTGCACCCATTAACTTGACATAGTGTTCGGCTGCTTAAGTCAAAGCAGAATTAGCTCAATCATTCAAGTCTCCCACAGGCTTTCCCCTGCAGAGCTGCATCTTTGCTGAGCACAAACCATTAAGGAGATCGGTTTATGCTCCGTACGAATAGATCGTATCTCTCACCATACGCCACCAGCAGCAGACGTGGTGGGAAGCTCCCTCCACCACAGCCCTAAGCGAAGATCAGTTTTGCTTATCCTGCATGGCCAGCGCTGGTCACTGCTCAGCTGGAGAGGTTTGCAGGAAAGGGAGGAGGAGCATTGATGGGTGAGGTTTTTAAATTGGGAGGGAAGCTCCAAGGAAGCTGTCCCACCAGTGAGCCTGGGCACTGCTGACAGCAGTGTAGCACAGGGCTCCACGTGGTCCTCTGCATTTAGGAGTGCTTGCTGGGGGGGTTTTGTACACGCCATGAGAGCAGGGCACCCAGGTCTTACTGTGCCTTACTTCACCACAGGTCCTCATCTCTGCCCTTGGAGGGGCCCTGAGCCCCTTGAAGAGTCCTTCACTTGTGGTGGGAGTCTAGCTTTGGGCTCTCCATTGCAAGATCCCTATGCCCAGTGGCCTAACAGGATAGGCTGGTATCACTTCCAGAAGCCACCAGGTCTGCCCAATGGATTAACTCAATCTCCTTTGCTTTGTTTCAAATGCTAAAAGGAACATTGGAAAAAAAAATCAAAGGACTCAGAACATGCACTAGTTTCACACTGCAGACAAGTTAAAAGGCAGCAATCTTGCTTTCCAGGTAAGAAAATGCATCCAATAGCAGTTTGCTATTAGGAAGAGGCGAGTTGTTTATTGACATGGGTTACTCACCATCTGTAGCCAAGCATTTGTGATCAACACCTGGTTCTTCTCATCCTTTAAACAAAAGGGACAAGGGAAAGGGATAAGAGATAAGGGAAAAGGGAAGAGAAGAAGGGATGAGCCTCAAAGAACAAATAAATTACAGGTGGAAGAGTTCCTGTTCTGTTGCTTTGAAAACCCATGCTCTTGGAGTAAGCAAATGCAAATGCTACGGCGTAGACTGTGAGTTCAGCACAGAGCCACCCAGCTGCTTTGCATGGCTCAGACAATACTGGCTCTTTCTATCCTTTAAAACTACAGACCTCCGGAATTTATCATAACAAATCACTATCAGAAGCGAAAATAATAGACAACAGCTGTTATTTTGCTGGAGACAATTGAAGAGCTTACCAAATGCACAAGCTTTTCCTTTCATCTAGTTGGGCAAAACAAGTTACTTCTAATACCATGAAGTATGGTAATTGGAGCAGGTTTATATCATCTCTGCTGCCGCTGCAAAACTGTAGGGAAATGGCACTGGAAGCACTCTTCTTTTCGAGTCTGCAGAACCCCAGATCCACACCCATGCTTTGCATAGCTTCAGATACCACCGCATGTGTGCCCTGCACTTACAGAGAGCTAAGGCTGGGTACTCCATGGTGCTGGCTCACTGTATGCACAGTCCTGTCCAGCTTGAACTGAGATGGGTACTTAGGCTTGGGTTTGATGTTGTGCCTAAGGGTAGGTCTGACCAACGTAGCCACTTTCCAAGAAAATCATGCTCTTGGCCAAAAGGCGTGCCAGAAAGCAGCAGTTGTCCTCTCTGCTTCAGCTCAAATCTCTTCAGCCACAGCCTGGCCAAGGTGACTCACTTGTCCACAGCAAACTGGGAGTACTTTCAACCAGTGTTCTCCCAGACCATCACACCCCAGAGTACGTTGACTTGCCTACCCTTCCTACCGGTAAGTTAATATAAAGTAAAATTTGGGCTCCCGAGACATTATTCTTCAACAGATTTTATGATTGATTGTGTTTTTTCCTATTCTTCCATAGCCAAAGAGAAACATTAGATACAGAACTCATGCAGAGACCAGAGCGATTAGCGACATTACAAGGAAGATGTGGAGATCTCTGAAGGAGAGAGAGGTGATTTATCATCAGACAAAGCCACTGTGAAACTCTACAGAAAACCCTGTGCAACCCCATTGCAGTGATAAAACCTCAAGGCCCAACAGAGCAGAAAATACTCATGGACAGCATGCAGTAAGAGCGGACAGACAGAGAACTTCACCAAGATGATGCCTTGTCCTAGCAAGTTTCTGAGGAGAAATTTGCCAGTTGGTCCTGGCTGTCACCTAATCAAGTTACTTCCCAGGCTCATGGTGACAACCACGTGGTGCCAGTGCTCTGGACTCCCGAGCTACCAGTTAACGTGTCTGTGTGTGTGTGGATGCCCTACGAAGCATCTGTTCCTTTCTCGTGTTTGGAGTGGGAGACACTGCAATGGCATACTACTGGGTGGTTTCTTCAATGAGGCCTCTTGAGTTTACCTGTTTTGTGTCCCATGCAGAAACCACTGCACGACTGCAGACTCCCAGGCCAATGCCTGAGGAAGAGCTGCCTGGGGAAGCCTCCTCTAAGCCTCTCTGGCACAGAAGATACTGAATCACTGGCACTGCTTTACCCCTAGCATAAAACTTGTTTGTGTCGTGCTTCTCTCTCCTCTCCCACTTGGCTTGTTGGAGCTGCAGAAACATCCCATTATAGAGAGGAGGAAATCATTGATCTGGAGGATTCATGATTGCTTTGGCAATGCGGCAGAGATATTCTCTGTTGCCAGGCACCTTTCTCCAGGAAAAGCATGACACAGATCTTTGCCATAGTCCTCTATGCAAATTTGTCTATCACACCACCTCCTCTTTCTCCCCTTGCATCCCCTTGAGATCAGCCTAAATGACTTATGCTGCTGGAAGGCACTACACAGAAATCAGACGAGATTTTAGATCCTGCTATACTGGTAATTGATGGAGTCATTAGAGTTATCTGTGCCAACAGATCTGGAAAAACAGCAACTCTACAATACCAAGGAAGTGTCCCAGGAATTCTCACAGGCCTTCCCTACCTGACTGATGCCTGTCTGGCCTGCCATGATTCCCCAGGTGGCATCTGGCATGGTGGGCATAATGCTTGTCTGAGTTACTCATTAAATCTTGGCTACGTTTTGTGCTGCTTGTCAAAAAATAAGTTCTTTATACTTCTAAGCTGCATACACCCTCAGTGCAAAGTACTGCTGAAAACAGCTGAACAGAGTGACCCAAAAGAGGGGCTGTAACAGCTAGGCTGCTCCTTTCCCCAGCCTGTGCAAAATGAAGGTTTTCCACGCATACGTTTTACCTCATGGCAAAAGTGGGGAGGGTAGCTTCACCTTTCTGTTGGCTACCCTAAAGCCAGAGGGGGATGCAGTAAAGGGTAGCACAGATCTGGAAGGCCTGTAAGTTTACTCCACGTGGAGATGTCTCTGTTCAGGGGCCTTTAACTCTTGACTCTGATTTACAAGCAAACTTCCTTTTACTTGACGTAGTAAGTTTATTCTCAATAAACTCCATGATTGCCAAGAAAAACACCTAGGGCAGACCTCTGTACTTCACAGAACTGCCTGTTGTGCTTAGCTGCTCACCCATCATATCTTTATGAGGTCCTTATTCAGAGTCAGGTGCTAATGACCTTGGCAATCAGTTTTGTCTTCAAAAAACTCATCAGCCACCTCACAGCATGTGGATATTTCATGTAGCACTAAATACATTACCTTGGGTACAATTTGACTTCTTGTCACAAGGCCACAGTGTTCACTGTGTTTGTTCTGCTCCTCAGTTTTGTTTTGCAGTCAAGGTTGGACTTTTCTATTCGAGTTGCCACACATTCACCTGGAACATAAGCACGCCCTGCATGGTCTTCCTGCCTTGCTTTTTGATAAGCACAGTCAGAAAGAGCATAAAGTCTAACCAGAGCTTTGGGCTGCTTGTGACTCTTTTAGCCTTGGGGGAAAAAATGTCACTTCAGGCTCTTTTCATGGCCATTCAGAGTCTGTCTATTCTCATCCTCGCCTCCAGGCTGCCGAGCTTTCAAAGGCTTTATAGACAGCAAATGCTATTTCCGTATTCAGCACTGATCAAAAGATGCAACCTGACGGGTCCTTCTTATCATAGGATGGAACAGAAAGTTTCCTAAACAAGGATCTGAGTTTGGGAAGAAAAAAAAAGGCTGTTCTGGGGAAGCAGAGGGGCACAACCCCTTCCTCCCCTGCTGGCCACCCCTCTGTTGATGCAGCCCAGGCCTCAGTTGACCTTCTGGGCTGCAAGCACACACTGCTGGCTCAGGTCGAGCTTCTCATCCACCAGCACCCCCAAATCCTTCTCTGCAGGGCTGCTCTCAATGAGTTCTTCTCCCAGTCTGTCCTCATGTCTGGGATTGCCCTGACCCAGGTGCAGCACCTTGCACTTGGACTTGTTGAACCTCATTAGGTTCACATGGGCCCACATTTCAAGCTTCTCCACATCCTTTTGGATGGCATCCCTCAGAAGGCCCCTCCTCAGAAGGACCCCGAGGAGCCAGTCCTTCCAAGAGTGCATCCTGAGGCTGCCCAGGAGGTGAGGGTGGTAGAAGTCTGGAAGTCTGAGTCTATCATACCATGTTTGTGCAAGGGGCTTTTAAGGCCTGAGATGTTTATGGAGCTTTCCATCTTTGAAAGTTTGTTGTTTTACTGGGCTGTGTAGCTTTGTAACCTGTAAGGAAATAGTGGACTAAATAGCCTTTGGAGTGGACTGGTTTCCTGGCCTTTCCAGAGCTCTGGAAAGATAGGAGAAAACTTGAATAACCCAGCACTTCTCTTTTTTTGGTCAATTTGCAAGGTCTATTCCTCACTTAGCACTGTCAACCCTGGAGATGACCTTCCCTCTGCTTTTCACTCTCTCAGCTCTCCCTACAGCAAAGCAACCAAAGCAGCCTAGCCAAAATCCCAGGTGAGACTGGAGAAGACAAGCCCCCAGAGATGCTTTTTCAACATTCCTCAGGCTGTTCCCCTGGGCTGAAAATGTTCGGCTCAAACAAATCAGCTTGCTTCTGGTTATTTAAAAATGCTGGGAAAGCTATTTCTGTGGTCAGTAGCCAGTGCAACAGTTGCCCTCTAAATCCTTTCTTTCTTTATCTAGGTCACATTCTCCCCTTTCTATCTTCAGACTCACCCCAGTTAATCCTCTCCCTTGGACATCTGATTATTCCTTTAGCCTTTGACCCATGGATGTTTCCTCCAGTGCATGTGCTAGGACATGTGTGAGTTTTATTTTTATTTATTTATTTTTCCCCACTGCCAACTCAAAGCTCACAATATGCCTTTCTTTTGCACCAATGCTTATCAATAGACTCTCCTTTGCCAGGCAAACTATGCCACACTATTATCTGGGTCATGGAAGAACAAATGCAAAGGCCTTCCTGGTTTAGTAGCCACATCCTATGGTGATGTGTCATCTCTCTAACAAGGCATTTGCTGCCTGGTGACTGACTGACCTCATTAATCTTTGTACTTTTGCAGAGGGAGTTAATTCTGCCATTGATTTATCACAAGATAGAAAGCTAAAAAGTCCTAAATTGCACAGGTAACTCTCAGCAGTGACTAAAGGCCATATGGGGCTACTTTGGTTGATTTCTTTTCTTATTTTTTTATGCTGCTTTCATGCCTGAATGTGTAGGAGGGGTATGGCCAAGAGAGAACACCATTGACCTTGAGACTCAGCTTTGTTAGCAAAGGCATCATTCTCCACACTGGATTTTGATCAAGAGAATCAAAAGGAAATGGAAAGGCTTTCAAATGCTCTTAGGCTCCGTCTATGTCTGCAGCAGGCAGTCCTTTCCACTGCTGAAACACCCTTCTACCCACTACCTTGCAATGATTAAGTAAAACAGCTTTAATGCACTGTATGAATGAAGTCCCACAAAACCAGACGGCTTGGGGAAAGCCTGGGTTGCCCTGGCAACAGTCATTAAGCATAGCTGGACAGCCTTTATACTTTTTTTCCAGT